AGACAAACAATAGACAATGTGCAAGTAAACATGTAGACAGTTTGAATGTAAACAATACAGACGTGTAAACAATGACTGGAGATGTGCAATAGATAAGAAATCATAAAGAGGTAGAGAGGTAGACCTTTTGGTTGAGGTTATTGTTAAGAAAGGAGCTAGTTACTAAATATAAGGGCTCACATACTTTTTCCATCAATGACCTTGATTGTTTTAACCATTTGTTCAAAAAAAATATGGCAATGTAAAATGTTGTGTGGGTTGTTTGTTAGATGACTGTCTTTATTTATTATTTTGACTTAGATGAAGATCAGATCACATTTATGGAGCCATTCATGCAGAAATCCATATAATTCCTAAGGGTTCATTAATGTTTTCTCACAACTGTGGTTTATTTGTGTCCACTCTCTGGTTCTGAGTGTCGGGACACAGCTTATACTGTGCCTGTAAGGTTGGTCCACAGTTCAGTAACCAGGGAACGGACCCTATGTGGTCACAAAGACCCAAGACAGGGAATGAGGGAAACCCAAGGCCAGGGTCCAAAGCCAGAAGGAGAAGTCTAGAATCAAGGTCCAGGAACACGATCCAAAAGTCCAAGTCAAGAAACAGGCCCAAAATCCCCAAAACGGTTTAGGAGTCCCGGAAGAAAACAAAAGGCAAGGGGCTCAGACCATCAAACTGAACAAAACAAACCAGGAAGCAACAAGCAGACAAAACGCAGGAACGAAGATGAGGCAAACAATGAGCAGAGAAGTAAACAGGAGCAGGAAACAAATGCAGGAACCAGGGAAGAATGTACCAAAGGCTAGATCTAGAGCGCAGAGGAATGGTAACAATACTGAGCACTGCTAGAACAATGAGCAGGGTTAAAGTAGGCTGGAGGAGGGGAGGCATGGTGAGCTAGGGACACTAGGTGAGCATGGATTGGTTAATGACGTCAGCTTGGTCTGCACCTCTGCTGCGCAGTTAGAGCAGGCACTAGAGGTTGGGGTGCCCTCTGGTGGCGGGGTAGTGAAACGGTAACAGTACCTGAAAAGCAGCATTCAGGGACAAGAGAGGAACCCAAGTCCAGGCAGATGATCCGGCAGGTATGTGGGCAAACAGGCAGACAGGCTGTCATGGCAACTAGCAAGCAGTAAAACACAATCTGAAGTGTTGTCAAAAACAAAGCAAAGCTCATAACCGTAGAGCTTTGAGCAAAGCTCAAACTACAAGCGAGCTGCCTGCTGAAAAGCAAAGCGAGTCAAAATCCAAGTAGTAGCAATGCAGGGACTGCTCAAGCCTAGGGCTCAAAACTGTAAGACAGCACTGGCATCGTGCCAAGCCTGAACTTAAATGACCTTTTCCCATGAGACAGGTGTGGTGGGTAGTTGCACACGGGTGGAACGGACCTCCTGCCTGAGCGCGTAGTCATGGCAACTGGCTAACTGACAGGTCTAGGTAGGTCTCTGCTAGTTGTTGTGGCAAGTCTATACTCTACATTGTTCGCTTTCTTTCAGTCTTGTCCCCAGCTTATCTCCATATGTGACTCTAAGAACTTGCTAGCGATTTGGCCCTAGCAGTGACAAACCATGTTAAGTAGACCCATTATCTGACTTGGTGCTTTCTGCAATTTTTTTAGTTATTCTAGTTATACCCCTTTTGTGGCATAATTATAATAACAAATATTGTGTCTGTCAGAGGATTAATTAACATACAGGTCAGCATGATGGTTAGGCATTGGTGCCTTGTAGGGGTAGGGTCCTGGGTTCAATTCCAGACCTGGGATTCTTTTCCCTGTGCTTGTATATTCTGATTTGCCTAACAATAAAAATCGCCCCCTAACCCGAGCCTTAACTGCAACCCTAACTCTATGGTTATTCAAAGACAGTAGCTTGTCCTATTAATAATTCTCTATACAGTATGTAAATTTTGAATGAGCTGAATTTTTACAGCTCAGAGACCAAACTAACACCTACGTTTTTTTATTACACCTGTTCAATCTAACACCTGTTATTTGAATATACTGTACCTGCCACACCTAAGACCTGTTTTATATTCTCGTGGTAGGTAATGTTCTTTAAAGAGTTGTAACCAGAAGTCACGTTACTGTGAGATGATCCCAGTATTGACAGTCCTGTTTCAGAACAAATAAACAAGGTTATCTCCTTATTGCTCCTCATTTTTAATTGATTCTTATTCTCTTAGTTATGCCTGTATCTTCTGCCAGTTCTGT